GTATTATTGTATTTACCCGATGCGGCTCAAACCCCCCCCCCCCCCAACCCCCATCCAAAAATAAAAACAGAAAGCATAACATTCTCTGTTTGTTACGCCAACAATCTTAATGATTGATGTTGTCGACTTAAAAATAAAAATAAATTATCTGCAATAAAAGGTTATCGACTCCCCTCGTAATCTCACAGCGGAAATCGTCTATTATTCAGAGTATGGACTAAGTGTAAGATTTAGTGCTTAGTTTGGTCTCGCTGTTAGGGTTAGAGTTTTACTTTACTACTTGAAGCTCGGTATAAGCGTTACTAACTATACATGTATTCAGGTCTGTTAACTGACAAATGCTTGTAAAATGTCTGACTTTTTTTCTCCTAATGTCAACAACGCCATTATCAACTCATTAGCAGAGAAGTATTCAGAGTAAGGACTAAAAAGTGTAAGATTGAGTGCTTAGTTTAATCTCGTTTTTTTTGGGGTTTGAGTTACAACTTTACCAGTTAAAGCTCGACATAAGCTTTACTACCTACATATGTAATCAGTTCTGTTAACTGACAAACGCCTGTAAAATGTCTGACACCCCCCCCCCCATGACACCAACGCCATCACCAACTCAGTAGCAGCAGAGAGAGAGAAAAAAATAAAACCAATGAAACGTGCGTCATGAGGCAGGCACAAGTCGACATACGTTAAAACTATTCGCAACGATTAGTTCTATTTATAGCCGTCGCGTATGTCATGTGGGTGTCGTGTAGTTCACGAGATTTCAACATGTTGAAAAGCTGATGGAGCTGATTCGGTGTTGGAGGGGTTTTGCTTTGTTTATGGGACTTGAGTTTAGTGTACAGTGGGTCTGATTGAGCACTTAAATATCAAATTTATAGACAAGCTATTTATAGATGTTACATGTGTAGACTGGGTTTTTGTAGATGTCAAATTAGCTGACTGGCTATTTACTTATGTCGCTTTTGTAGAATGGCGATTTACATGAGTCACAGTTATAGGCAGGCTATTTACAGAGGCGTAGCTAGGGGAGGGCGGGGAGGGCGGCCGCCCCGGGCGCCGACCCTAGGGGGGCGCCAAAAGGGGTAAAAAAAAAATTAAAAGCTCATTTTAAGTTGCAATTTTGAATTATAAACAGTCAAAGTAAAGAAATTTAACGTCTGAGAACCTTTGCATACTGATTTAACTGTTTTCCACCTTTGTTGTGTAACTGTAAAACGTATATCTTTAAGAAACAGTGACCGGAAAAACCGCTTTCCAGCTTTACTAGATGGGGAGGGGCGCTTTTTCCAAGACTAAAATCGGAAAAAATCGGAGCTGGTTGATAGGAAGCCAAAATTTTAAGAGAGAAGAAAATTAGTATATTGTACTGATTATTACTTTGTTCAACCTAACTGATAATTCAAAATTGCAATAAGGCTTGCACCTTCTACAAAATACACTCTAAAGCAGTGGTTCTTAACTTTTTGAAGTACCGAACCCAACTAGTTTCGTATGCGCAATCACCGAACCCTCCTTAATAGTTTTATCGTCCACAGTGACAAAATCCTATGAGTCGGGTGTGTGTCTTGACCTCCGCGGAAGCCCTGAGACTGAATTACCGAACCTCTCGGGTTCGATGGAGCCCACTGTTCTAAGCTCTTTTTATTTTCTACTTTTTATTCGTTTCGGCATCTTAAGGGGAATTTAATTGGCGTCCAGTGAAGTTTTAGGGAACGACAATCAGCGTAATTGTTAATTTTTTTCCAGACTGTCGCACACACAAACACACACGCATATATATATATATATATATATATATATATATATATATATATATATATATATATATATATATATATATATATATATATATGGGGGAGGGGCGCCAAACTGAAAGTTCGCCCCGGGCGCCGGGAGGGGTCGCTACGCCTCTGGCTATTTACAGATGTTAAATTTGTAGATTGGGTATTTACAGGTGCCTTATATCTAGACTGCCGATTTACAGATGTTACATTTGTAGACTGGCTATTTACAGAAGACACTTTTGTAGACATGCTATTTACAGATGTCAAATTTTTAGACATGCTATTCATAGAGGTCACATTTGTAAAACTAGCTATTTACAGATGTTACATTTGTAAAACTAGCTATTTAAAAAGGTCAATATAGCTGACTGGTTTTTTAAAATGCCTTGACTACTATTTATTTTCTCTCTCTCTCTCTCTCTTTTTCTCTCTCTCTGTCTATCTCTACAAAATGCCACATGGCTTTCATCTGACCATTGCCCTAAAATCTGTGTAGCCTCTCTTCCAAAGGTCACCTTTAAGCTGACCACTCGTGAAATCATAGCCTCAAACCTCCTGAGTATAGGATTGAAATCATTTATTTATTGCACTGCTTTTAGCAATGGAGGGTTCGCATGAAGAAAAATGTGTATAGAAAAAAAAAATTCTCCATTAAAACGATTCAATATTTCTGACTTTTATTTCGTTTCAGCGGAGTGGATATACTTTTTAAATTTTCCGCATAGGAAGAGCTCTCTAGTTTGCATCTAGACACCATCCACAACATGGTTGGCGGTGTAGTTTTAACTTGTAAAGTAAAGTAATGTTTCCCTTTTCAAACCTGACGGTCTATGGGGCAAGTAGAGTTCACTTGTTTCTGTGACCTCGGCATATGAAGAGATAGTGTGGTTAGCACTATGCCCAGCCGCCTTTACTTTCCCTAACGTGAGTTAGGTACCCATCAGAGCTGGGTGGACTCAGGGACGGTCGACTGACTTGAACCCAGGTTCGAACTCGAGACTTACGGGTTAGCAGTCCAGCTCTCTACCGCTAGACCACTCCGTCCCGTAGTTTTAACTTGTGATTGGATAAAAAGGTAAATTAAGAGGAGACGGTATTTTAAAGAGTAACACCGCAAAGAAATAGGTTCCCCTATCGGACCTGTCGATCCAGAGGGCAGATGAATTAAAGTTGTGTTTCTTGACCACGGCACATGAAGGGATGTTGTGATCAGAACTATACCCAGCAACCTTTACTTTAACTAATGTGAGTCAAGTACTCATCAGAGCTGAGTGAACTCAGGGACGCCCTACAGATTCCGATAATTTTAGACTTTCGGGTTTGCAGACGAGCGCTCTACCACCCGACCACGCGGTCACATTTTCCCCGGAAAAAAACCTGCATTACGGTGACGACAAGATGGCCAAGCAAAATATCAAATGTAGACCTGTGGCCAACCCACAAAGCAACAGCCGATTGACATGGACCTAAAGCCCGCGATGGATAAGGCATACCCTGAGAAGGGCCGAGAATAACATCGCGAGAAGTGTTAGACTGGAAACCCAAGGGGAAAAGAAAAGTAGACCGGTCAAAGCAGTCCTCGAGAAGGACAGTGGGAGGAGAAGCAGGGGCTGGTAGGCTTACGTGGGCTCAACTAAAGAGAACTGCCCAAAAAAACAGAGTCCGGTGGTGTGGTCTAGCCCCAGCCCGTTCCTCCACGGGGGCTCCAAAGGAACAAGTCATGATACATCTGAATGGGAGGAGATTGTGATACAGGCCTTATCCCCCCTTCAGGTGTGGAGACACAGAGATGAATGGACTTTATTATATACCGGTCCTAGCGGAACTTTAACGCTAGTTTATTAACCCTAACCATAAGTATATATTGTGTAAACTGAGAAGTGGATTTGTGTGTGCTTGTGTAAATGGGTATTTCTTTTCAAGTGAATGATCGTATGATTGTCTCGGTGTGTGTGAGAGAGTGTAGCGCGGTATTCCATATCAATTTAACTAAGATAACATTTCACGTGCAACAATATTTGAGTGAGTAGTTACCGAGTAGAATACTGTGGTTAAGACACACACATACTTATTACCTCCCATGTCAATGTACATAATAGTTATGTAGACCAAGGGAAACGAGTCATATTTTAATTTATTTTGTTTTAAACAAAGTATAAACAAGGTAAGACGTAAGATCTACAGATGGTTATTTAATTTATATGACATAAAAGTTTAATTATTTGATTTGTAGGCTAATTATTAATACTTAGTAAAGCTATCACTAACAAAAAATATGTACATTAACTCGAATCAAACGCTTTAGTTGTATTATAAAATAATTCATTTTAGTAATATGCATCTCTATGTTTTGATCACTTAAACATATAAATACATATATTTATAAACTTTAATGATGGAATGAAGAAAAAAAAAAAAAAAAAAAAAAAAAAAAAAAAGAAAAAAAAAAAAAAAAAGAAAAAAAAAAAATAAAAATAAAAAAAAAAAAATAAAAAAAATAAAATAAAAAAAATAAAATAAAAAAAAAAGGAATGAAATATCAGTTTTCCCCCATAACTGCTTCCCCTTCGTCCCCATGACCCCACCCCTGTGTTGAAATACTATGTTAAATACTGAGGATGATGTATTTTCCACATACATTTCTTACAACATTGATTTGATTCCTATCTCAACAACCCCCATGTCCCCACCTCGTTTCGCATCATTTATTTTTTTTTGTCATTAAGGTTCTTATTGTTGCTTAATTGTGTATTGTTTTATTTACACAGCCTACAAACAAACATTGTAAATGCAAAGACATTATTATTTTAATATTCACCATTTTCTTCATGTAATGATAATTTTTGTAAATGTTTGAAGTATGTGTATATGCTGATGTTATTTTTTTCATTTAGGTGTTATTTTGACAATAAAAGTACTATATTTTTTTAAAAAAAAAATATGTTACTTTTTGAAAACTCATAATAATTAATCAGTCAACACTTCGATTTGGGTTCAACGCAAATTTACATTTATTATTACTTTTCATGCATTGAATGTCACTATTTACATTAAAGTAAAAAGGCATTAAAAGAACACGTAAGTAAGAAGTATTACTATTGTAAATCTATAACTTTCCTAACAAGCCGATGATGAAAACTGAAATACAAAAGCGAACAAGGCAAGGCAAACTGACGCTGAAAATAACCTGTCTGATGCAAAGAAGGAAAAAAAATTAATCTGTTCACGCAGTTCAAACAATAAAATTGGAACGATACAGAGAAGATTAGCATGGTCTACGCGCAGACACGACTCACAGAATCGTGAAGCGTTTTCAAATAAAATAAAAAATAATTAATATTAAATTTTAATAAGGAATTAAACAAAATACTTGCACATTACAATGAAAGCTGACGGAACGATCCTTAATAACTCGGCTGATTATTGCTCAAACAAAAATTTTAAAAATAAAAATAAACGCTGTATTTATAAGTTTTAAGGTACTATAAAATGCGAAAATAAACAATTTTTTTTTGGCTACGGCAGTTATAACAGTTTAATCCTTAGCCGAAAACGGATCGCAAAGATTTCTAACATGACTAACGCTCTCTTCTGATTTTTCGAGCATATAAACTTGGTAAAAAAAATCACTCGTCTATAAACCAAAGTTAACCATTCACACCTCCACCGATTTCCACCGATATGTCTGCAATCCTTTACCCCTTCTCACCACCTCACATACATCATAAATGGTCAAATTCACCCCCCCCCCGCACACACACACACACTACCCCACCCCCTGTGCTAAAAACTCACATGTCTATTCTACGGGACTGCATGTCACAACACAGTCATTTTCTGCTGACGTTTCGATCCTCCATTACCTAATGAATTCATGATTACAAGGGACACAATCATACGATGTGAATTATCTCCCTTGTAATACAGACAACGTCAATGTTTTCTTTGAAATTAAAAACACGGAATTCTCTTTGATTTCGTCGTCCCATCATCTCCACTTGCGGACAAAAAAAAATAATTGAAATAACAACTGCAAGAATTGTAAGATTCATTACGATGATAGGGTAAGTGTGTGTGTGTGTACTTGTATGTATATGTGTACGCCTATGTGTGTATGTGTATATGTGCGATCATGTATGTGGTTTAAGGGGGGACCTGTAGTCAACTTTCTTGAAAAATTTCAATTTTCTTGTCTAAAATCAGTTTTGTTTATCTTATTTTCGCGGGATTTTGATATCTAGTAAAGATTGGCCTCGAATTTTTTTTTTTTTATAAATTGAGTAAATTGTTGTTTTCTTCAATAATGTTATCGGAAAAAGTAATTATTTGTCAAAGTTATTCATTATTTTGCTAATGCATACCTTATATGACAAAATATTTAGTCAATAATGCTTAATTTTTGAGTTTTCTCAGTTTTGTCAATTTTACTATATAGATCTCGCGGGGATGAATTTTACTCAAAAAGCGCCTATCAGAAATACTTCAAACTGCCACTGTGTGTTGCAAACATATGTATCTATATAGTAGTAGAAGGGTTTGGCTGTACTTTAATTTTTAAAAAAAACTGTGAAAGTTTTTAGAATTGCTTTCTTAGAAAATCATATGAAAAAAATATACATTATAAAAATTTAACAAAAAATTCATTACTTTGCATTGTTTTCAATTATATTTTTAGTTATTTTCATTCTACTGTGTACCTAGAAAATGTTCAATTTGACACCAAATTTGACAAAAAATATATAAATTGTCCCCAAAAAAATACAATATTATATTGTTTGAAGTATTTTAAAGTTAATACAATTCCAAAAAAGCATGTATTGTATAGCTTGTAGCAAAAAAAAACCCAAAATAATCAGCAGTTATTTGTCAGAAGTTATGTGTAATATTAAAAAGCGAAGGCATAAAAATATAAAAATGTAGGAATATTTTTAAAATTATTTGCACCAAAAAGCTGCGTGTCATCTGATATCTCCAGAAAATGTGAGCTTTAATTAAACGTGATTAAAGTTTTTTTAATATTATGATTACAGTGCAGGCTTTATAAATCTGAATTGTATATATTTTTTATTAAACAAGTATATGTAGGTTAGGTAAAGACGATATATGTAAAGAGATTGGGTTGTTAGGGATTTAATCCTTAAATCAGTAATATTTTATGCGTAACAAATACTTTATAGTGCCTGGATGAATCATACTTGGCAGCTGAACATAAAGTGTTACATTATTTACATTTAGTTACGTTGATGGAATGTCGTTCTTTACACAGACCAACCTACGATCATTCACATGAGAAAAAAATACACAAACCCTCAGCACACACAAACCCACACTTCAGTATACCTACATTTTCACACACAGAATCGCACACATGACTTCAGTCACTTGCAAATGTACTCACACCTACACACAATAATCTATACAACACTCGCACATCTCCCTCACAGAAAGCCACACAATACACACATTACATACAGACACGCACGTAAAATGCCTACATCAGCACTTAACATCATTGATCCATTAATCTGTCCTCTGTTCTAGATCAACATATATTTATTTTCCTGCTTTTTTTCGTTCATATTTTCCATTTACAAAAAAACTAAGATACATGTCTAACTAGTGTCATCAAGTCTAAAAATAGAAGCATGATTATCCCTGGGAATTATCTCGTTGTCGCGGTGATGTTCAGTGATATCTTATGGGATTTCTTCTCTCGCCGAGATTCTTTTCTTGGATGTAAAGGTGTAAAATAACATATTAGAAAAAAAGAGAAAAAAAACAAGATTAAATTCCTAGGATTTTTTTCTTTTCATATAAATTTTCCCTCCTTTGTAATATCTTTAAATAGAGATTTTTTTTAATAGCGCGAAGAAGACAAAAATTCAGATATAAAATCGTAGAGACAGACCAGTATTACTAGCTGTACAACAGTAGTTGCTGTAAAGACAGGATACTACCCGTACAACAAAAATGTTTGTGAAGACAAAAACAGTACTGCTGGCTGTAATACAGTATCTTCTTCCCGATCGTGCCCAAGACACACGGGGAAGGTGAAGTTGAGTTCATCTGCTACATAGACCTCGGCATATGAAGGGATAGTGTGGTCTGCACTGTGCCCAGCCGCCTTTGTTTCCCTAAATTATTTAGGTACCCATCAGAGTTGGGTGGACTCAGGGACGTTCCACTAATTAGAACCCGAGACCCTCTGGTTAGCAGTCTAGCTCTCTACCGCTAGGCCACGCTAGTATGTATGCTGTCATACGTTTTAATATCGATACAACAGTAGCCTATCTAAAGAAAAAAAAACAGAACTACTAGCCATACAACAATAGTTTCTGCGGCCAAAGAGCAATGTTGCTAACTTCACAACAGTAGCTTATGTTGATACAGATATGTATTGCTTGTAGCACAGATCTAGCTATTTCAAGGACACGTTTCGATTACCATCTGATAAGCTAAAATCAGCGGTTCTAAACGTGCGTTAGGTCGAACCCCAAAGTTCGGTGAGTCATTCTCAACTTAAGAGTTCGTCGGAGGTTAAGACTCACACCCGACTCAAAATGATTAGAGATCGGATTTTGTCAATACGGAAGATAACATATTTAAAAAGTGTTCGGCGAAGGCGTATATAAAACTGTTGGGTTCGGTACCCCCAAAAAGGTTAAGAACCACTGATCTAATTACAATAGTTTTCAAACATTTCTTTGTTGTTTTCAAATTTAAAAGAACAAAAAAATATTTTTAGAATTCTACTAAAGTATCGATCCTAAGAAATCAATTTGAAACATCTAGGTCTGACCAATACATAATGTTTTTGTTTATTTATCTTAGAAGTCTAGTTATAATAAATTTAAAACTATTGTTGCGCCGAAAAAATTTTAATTTAATATTTTAATAATTAGTCCAATAGTATTTATTTAAAAAAAGAAAAGATATGACTCGCCTAATTCGAACAAATCAAATGTCAGCATGTAATTTAGTTCAAAGCCGAGTGGCGAACGGAGAACACAAAAGGTGTCGAGTTTTTGGTGTTATGCCGCAACCACCTGCTACACACAGACAAGACACAATAACACCTGCACCCCCACCCTCACACTCCCCAGTTATAATAGCACCAAATCAACAAAAGCTGACCATACATATTCATTATTATCCCAGAAACTATTTAAAAAGACAAATTGCCTCACCTTTTTAGTCATATATAATCCAACCACGGAAAGCCGCAGCCAATCATTTCTACTGTAAAATGTACACATAAAAGTGGCGAAATCGGCCCCCTCTGATTAAAAACATTCACATTGGCCATAATCCGCTCTTGTAACCCAGAGATTTAACTAAATCTATAATCTATAAACAAACTAAATCTACATTAGCCATAGAATCCGCACTGGAACTTATAAATTAACCTAAATCTTTAAACCGTCATCTAAAACTAAATTAGCGATAAAATCCGCCCCCGGATCTTATATAGATAAATCTAAATCTTTAAACCACCATCTAAAAATACACTGACACCGAATTCCCTCTGAAACCTAGAGACGAAGCTAAATCCCTAAACCATTATGTTGAAACAAATTTGAAACAATTTTATTCTTCTTGTATAATACAAGAAATGTCTATTTTTGTGTTCTGACGTCAAAAACATTTTTATTAGCTTTATGCGAGGTTATTTAATTTTTAAAAAATAACAGATTTGCCGGCATGCGGTAATGGCATTTAAATGGGGGAAAATGCATGAAGTTATTTTGACCTTAAAATTAAGATGATACTGCAAATGGGATTAAATTAGAGAAGACAAAATCGAAGTCTTCAGGTGTTTAAGGTATTCCTACGTCTCTCGCCGTTTGCGTTAAGTTTGGCTTGTTTGGCCTTCTGTGGTTTTTGTGTGCTTAACTTTATGTGGGTTTGTTTGCTTTATGTGGTTTTGCTTATTAAGTTTTCTGTTTTTCTTGTTTAAATTTATGTGGTTTTATTTCCTTTGCTAACTTTGATTTTGAACTTCCTTAGCTTTCTGTGGTTTGTTTTCTAAGCTTTCAGTCGAGTTTTTGTTTTTTTGTCTGCTAAATTTTCTATATTTTTTTAGTTTATTTTTTGTGTCTTTTGTGTTATTTCTTGTGTGTGTATTTTTTTATTTGATGAAAAAAGGAGTGCCATGTTCTTTTTATGTTATTGATTAAACTCTGGCCATGTATTACACGCAGTGCTTCCATTCATAACCGATGATAGAAGAGGAAATTAGCCTCAAAAGAAACAAATATGGCAGCTAATTAGACTCCACGTGTTAACGTTTCTGTGTATGTTCCGGAAATGTATCTTTAGCAA